AGGAGGAGGAGGAGGAGGAGGAGGAGGAGGAGGAGGAGGAGAGACGTGGAAGTCAGAGTCAGCATCAGGGCAACCTGGGAGTTCCAAGGGGGAAGAGGCAATGGAGCTGACAGAGAGAGAGACAGGGGCAGAGCCTGGGCCATCCATCAGCCCTCAGATGGAGAGTCAACCCCAGGTCTGGAGGAGGAAGAAGAATAGCTGGCAGGTCTGGTGCCTAATGCACGGCTGCACAAAAGGCAGAGGAGAGGAGAGCAGTGGAAAGCCTGGGGAAGGAAGAGCCACCGCTGCTAGCAAAGCCCCACCCTAGATCTGGAGATAAAAGGCAGGGAGTGGAGATGAATCGATGTGGCAGACAACTATTCATCTTCCAGCCTGATGGACTTGTTAGCCTGTGAGAGAAACTTTTTGCCAGGACTGTCGACATTCCTAATAAATTAATCTTTTGAGTTCACGTCAAAGGGTTTGTCGTGTTTGGGGAGCTGGGTCAGAACACTTATATTACTACTTTTAAAAATGGTCTTCACTAGAAGGAGTAACAAAAAAAATGAGTTTTACAAATAATGGAAAAGAAATCTCGCTACTTTTCATTTTTCCTATCACAAGCAGAGTCCAAAACACCAGGCAAGGCAACAGAGGTAGCAAGAATTACATTACTTGACTGCATTTCCCACCCCACCTCCCTTGTAATAGTATGTAAGCAGAATGCATTGGTTTCTGTATCATGGGTTGGGTTCCCAAAGCCAAATCAGAGATTAACTGCCACCATGCAAATAGGTGGTAACAAAATTACTTAGACCTCTAATATATATCAGGCTAAAAGTGACTGAAGGTGAATATTACTAATACTGTAATACATTTGACAACTTCTATGGGGATCTTGGTTCTATATCAGTGGTGGGTTCCTACCAGTTTGGACTGGTTCAGCCGAACCGGTAGTGCTTTGGCGGCCTGGGTCACTGGAACCAGCAGCGGCCCAGGCCTGCCACGCCCCCGAACTGGTCCTCCGGATGGCGCCATAAGTGCCATCATCTTGTTTTTTGCTTCTGCGCATGTGCAGAGCAATTTTTATTGCACTGTGCATGTGCGCGCGGCACGCCCATGAGCAAACCGACTGTAGTGAATGCCGGAAACTGCTCACTTTCTATATAGTGAAAATATATAACAGCAGCTGGATATCCATCAAAAATTACAGTTAATTAGCAAGAATCAAATATTAAAACAGGTAGACCTTGAGTTACCTGTATTGGTCACCTTGTTTAGTGACCATTTGAAGTTACAATAGCACTGAAAAAAGTGACTTGTGACTGTTTTTCATACAGCATCACTATAGCCACATGTTCAAAATTCAGTCACTTGGGTCATATGATCATCTTTTGTGATCGTCTGACGAGCAAAGTCAATGCGGAATCCAGATTCACTTAACAACTGTGGCAAGAAAGGTTGTAAAATGGAGAGAAAAATCACTTAGCAATTATCTTTCTTTGCAATGGAAATGTTGGAATTAATTGTGGTCATAAGTCAAGGACTATCGGTAGAATCACAGGTTAAAGACAGACATCCATATTATGAGAGAGTATTTTTGATAAAAGAATATCTTCTGACCACCCATTCCTCTAATCAGGATATTCCATTCCTTGCTTCCATTCATCAATGGGAAGACCTCTCCATCCTGATGCCCTGTGTGGTGTGCTGGGTTCTTTGGGAATACATGGGAATAACATGGTAGTTTTATATCCTTCCTCTTTCTGAAGATGCCTATTTATAGGGGCTTCTTCCAACAAACGGGAGGCAATAGGATGCAGCAATGAAAGCATGAACAGAATGTTGGATAATGTAAATTCATTTAAATATAGCAGTTGATGGAAATACGGTCAACATTCCTAAAAATTATCATTTTGGCATAGTGCAATGACTTACATGCTACCCCTTTTTATAGAGAACTAAGAAGGTTTTAGGGATAATCTCATCCAGGCTATGTTAGCATTGCAAGAGAGCAGATAAAGCCACTCCATTCTTACCATCTAAGAACTGGGGAATACTTTTTATTTATGTCTCTAATTTTCTCCCACTCCATTTCTACTTCTGTCTCCCCCAGGATCCCACTGGTGAACTTGTGACTGAATGCACTAGAAGGAATAAGGCTTGATGTCCTTGTAATGAGCTCAAATGCTGAATCTTCGAGGGAGTCCCACAGAAGCGGCAGCCCTTTCTTTAGTCCCATCTTCCTGCAATGCCACTTCTGGTGCAACAGAAGAGCTATTGTGGATCCCTTTGTGTCACGTCCTTCCATCATCACTGCGGACCCGACAGAAACAAGGATGAGGTCAGGCGCAGCCTGCCAGGCTGGGCTTTCAGAAGCCCCATAGTGCACGGTGATTAGGGCAGTGTCATGCCAGCAAAGCCGGGGGGAGGAACAAGTGGATGAAAGCTACTAGTATCATAATAACTTTAACATGTCTCCCTTGTATCTTGACACAAACAGTTGCATACAGATATTTATTAGTAAGCATGCTTGATACCAAGAGGCAGGATGCTGTGTGTCTTCCCTTCCCTCCCAACTTTTGTTCTCTTCCCCTTCGTGTGATCTGATGGGTCTTCCAAAAGGGCAGTGCTTAGTATCATTTGGGGTGGGGTGGGGTGGGGATGAATCAACATACTATATAGGAAGCAAAAGTACAATGAAGGGCAACTAGTTACAAAGGATCAGTAACACAAATATACCACACTCAATTTCCTATGGTGGTTTTCAGATTAACCTTGTCTCTAGAATTCCCATCCCTTGTTCATCTGTTTTAAATTGTGTTCAACTGTCATTTTGAACCTAGGACCTGGTTAATCTAAATGTGCCACTTACAGGCCACTCACTTTCCTCTGAAAACCACTGCTTGTTTATAGTTAGCCGACACAGAACAAAAACCTCTGCCCAGAGATAATCGGAGAACATGGCCGTAAACAAACAAGCCAATGGCTATTTTGATGGAACAATTGCAAGACTATGTTGTCTAGCAATGACAGGCTAACCATAACTGAAGCTTTGATAGGGTCTTGTGCCTCCCATCAAATATTTCCTGGCTGCAGGTGCGGTATGCTTGATTGCTTCATAATGAGAATGAATGGGAGATAAGTGAAAAGCTATTAATGGCCCTCTGAATAGCTTCTCTTCAACCCAATACAGCCTTTGTTTTGACAGAAGAACAAAAATTCATCGGACGGGTTTGTTAGTTGCTTTTTTTTTTTTTTTTGTCTTTAAAAAATGTGGAATTATATCCCTTCCCTCTGTGGCAGAAAACTAGCTATTGAGGAATTAAAAGAAGAAATTGTTTGTTTATATTGCTAGGAACTTTCACTAAACAGAACCTTTTTGTGCATAAACATGATAACATTTTCTTGATAGCAGCAAGTGTTGTTCCTTTTGTATATGTAAAATCTCTGATTAATTAAATTTACTGCCAACTGCAGAAAGGTAATTCCTTAGCACCACTAATGCACTGTGGTATGTAAGAAACCCATACCATCTGTCTGTTCTTGAATTTTAAGCACATTACTTGCTATTGCTATGGTGCCAAGAAGGTACATTTCTTTTATGTCCCCCTTCATTTGCCCTTCCGTAGCATTTCATTCTACTTCTGAGTTCCCCACTACAATTATCGGATGAGACTTACCTGTCCTGATGCTCCCAATGAAAACTTTGGTTTGCAATAAGTGTGGCCTCCAAAAGCATTGTAAAGTCAGTGCCAAATGCATTTCTTCTAGGAAGGGATTCCAAAATTGAGCTATCACTCCTGACCATGCTAGGTGGTGTATATAGTGTGTATTGTGCTCTTCCAAGTAGGGAAGTAGTAGAGATAGAGTTTCAGGTAGAGATTTGAAGATGGGCAAACCAAAGATTATAAACCACACGTAGCCACTGGAGCCCCTTAAATTTGCATTGCTAAACATTTCAGTCCTAACCTTAGGCTCATCATGAAGCCTTCTGGGGGTCTGCTTTTGGGTTTTTTTTTTTTTTTTTTTGTAAATGTGTTTATATTTTCCATTTCATTTTCGTTGGGTCTGCTTTTGTTTTAAAGCACAGACCAGCTACCTGAGCAGTCTGACTCTTTTTAGGATAAAAAGCTACTTCCTTGCAATGCCAACATCATTATCCCTGGGTGTTTCATATTTTCTGCAGTGGATTCTCTAGCTTAGAACAACTAGTAAAGGTATATGTTTATAGTTTTTGTACAGTATCTGCAGAACTGTGTTGTATAAGCGGGACAAAACCAAAATCTGCTTTTTTGAAATACGGGCATCTGTTCCAAAGCCCTGAGGAAGCACTTATGTGTTCTTTTTATTACTTCAGTTTCTGACAAGCACAACTTCTTTATCAAAGGCTCCTCCGGTAATTATATCTGAGCTTCCAACGTAAAGCCGTTTTTCTGTGATAAATCCACAAGGGGCAGATTCCTTTATACCCATCTTCCCAGATACTAGATTGCATAGTTATGAGATACTCTGTACAAACATTTGTAATGTTTATATCTTGTTCTTTCCCAAGGAAACTCGTTGAATGAGTAGGTGCCACCCTGTCAATTTTAGCCTCACAACTCTTGTGAAGTGAGAAAGTGAAGAGTGGCCCACACTTATGTGAGTGGAATCAGAGATTTGAAGCCAGCCTGAATGGAGAGCTAGCCAGGCATTTGGGGTTTTACCGGTCCTCTTAAGTTCTGGAGAAAAAAGCATAAGTAACATTTCATATCTCAAGTCACTTCTATCCTTTGAACACTCACTCAGAATTAAATTGCATTGTTGCATTTAGAATTCCACTCTCAGAATTACCAAGTAACAAAGGAGTATAGGGACCCTGTAGTATTGAAAATGGGGGATGGAAAGGTGGGAGGAGGGCTGCTGTCATTTTATTTTAATTAAGGAAGAAATGAAGGAAACTTGCCATTGTTAATTGTGTTTGATCCCTCTCCTTTCTTTGTAGCATACTTAATATCAATTAAAATGTTTGCATTCTTTCATCTGCTTAAGGATATATGATACACAGAAAAAACTTATTTTTAAGTGCCATTTATTTCAATATGGAGTTACAACTATTTTTAAATTAAGAATTAATTGCGATAATAATGCCAGCATAAATTTCTTATTCAAGTGAAATAACTTTATAGTTTATTTTTATGTAGTAATATGAAGTTAGTAATCCCTTCTGCTTGTTTGGGGCAAAGGAATCATCACCTAGTTACTTAAGTACTATAAAACTCTATATTTTATTAATTGTATCAATAGCACAGAGTTAGAACTTGACTACCAAGATTCCTAGTGGAAACTACAGACCACCCAGGCATGCTTAGTAACCAAAAAAACAACCCCTAACCCCCCACCATAACTGCACCCTGTTTGCCTGAATTTGATACGCCAAAATCGATCAGCTGAGCTCTTTTCAGCTTGCTTATAACTCTCATATTTTAATATGTGTACACAAAGCTGCTTTTATTTTGGCAACACCTAAGACCTAATGCCTCCACCGCCACTGACATTATAGAGAAGTTGGAATGGATGGTGCTGTAGCATGTGAAGTAAAGAAAGAAAAAGGCATGCAGAAATATTGTTAAGATTGTCCATCACTGGAAGTTAAGAAAAAATTGTGCCAATCTAAACTTTGGGAGGAAAAATGAAAAACTGGTTAGGTGCTTAACTACTTACAGTAGATGTTTACCTTTTCTATGTCTGTTATTCTCCTCCATCTATATGTGTTTGCAGAAGACGAGGACTCTTCCTCAAAAAAATTGTGTTCTCTAACCTTTAAAAATATTAATCCTCATGCTGTTAAATCAGAGTGATGTCAGCAAGTCTGACTAAAGATGTTTTGGCAAATGAAATGGAAAATGCAAAAATCTTTAGCCCGGGATTCAGTCCTTGGCTAAATTCACCAGAGACTTTTCTTCTACATGCCTCATTGTAATTAAGGGCATTTCTGTGCTTACTATTGGAGCTGTTCCTGTCCTGTGGTCATGCCTGCTTGACTCTAAGCCAGCTTTAAAAAGCCTGGCCAATATATAACTATATACTGTGCTTGTTTCTAAGGGCTTTTTGACTCGTTTTTACCAGGACTACAGTTGGTATAGCTGTTTGAACATAACTGGTCCAAAATCTAACGTGTTTTACAATTATTTATATTTTTTTCTTTCCAAAATTCCTTTTTTGCGCTTTGCTTTACTTTCTTGGGTAATAATTGGAATTCCACTGATTCTCCAGTCACCTGAGGTAGAAGAATTTTTATCCCCAGCTTCCAAGCAGCTCATAGCTTAAAATAGCTCTCAAGTGTTACTTTTAAGACATTAAACACAATCCATGTTAGCATTCAATGGGTTATTTATATGGGGAAAAGAGACGAAGCAGCTGCAACGATCCTAGCCAAGTTGTTCTAAAATAATTTCTCCCAGCAGGAATAGGAGGAGAAACACTGGAAACTGTCAGGCAGGCAAAGCAGAGATGCCACCAAAGGAAGCAGGCAGGGTAAGGCAAAAGTGAAAAATGAAGTGGGTGAGATTGAGGAAAAGCCATGTCGTGGGCAGCAGCCAGCATTCGTATCTTCCTGGTTTGGATCCATACTTCATTTTGGCACATGGCAAAGCTATGCACAAGCCCTGGATCTGCTGCTCCAAGGATTTCCAGGGGAAATGCATGGTTGAAGACCCTGGTTGGGTGGTCTCACCTCCTCTTCATTATGGTTCCTCCTGCCCTTGCCTTGAGCCAGCTAAACCAGAGGAGCAGAAGGAGACTTCTCCTTCCATAGTTGTACTTGGAATGGATAAAGATAAAGAGTTTTTGCTACCTAATAGGAAGGAAAAGAAGCCAACAATGACTACTATGGTAGGTTATGACTGAGGTCTAACGGATCTGGTCGTAGGAGAATGACTCTGCCATAAGGATACATATTGTAGGCAGTTCTGCCTCCGTGACGGTATGTACAGCTGCATAAAAAGCTTCTTTAACTCTGCCGCATTGGAGCCCTCAGAGCCTTCTATGTCATTATTTATTTTTGTTGGCCTCTGCATCAGTGATAATAGATTAAATGCTGTTAATTGTAAGTGCATAACTATGCAGAGCTTCCCAATGGGGGTGGTTACACTGCACAATGAATGTACTTTCTATTCCTGCTACGTGTAATCAGATTTCTTTGTCGGGTGCTAATTCTCTTGTTGGCCATTTTGCAGACATGAGAGCTATAATGTAGCATCAGGCAAATGCCAACTGGGACCCAAATAACCCATGAAACAAAAACGATCTGGGTTTTTATTTTCCAAGGAAAAGTTATATTTTTTCCTGTCTACTTGTTGTCAATTAAATAATTTAATTTATCCCAATAAGTATAAACAATTTAGTAATTTATCACCTTCTTTTAAAATACAACACATGAGCTCTTCTTCCCATAACTCATCTCTTATCTATAAACAAATCCATAAAATGTTGTAATTTCAGTCCTGATGTCAGCAAAAGTCTAAATAAGGATTGCCAGAAATAACAAAAAATCTACTTTAACCTTGATCAAATAAACTGACTTTATATTC